TTTCCTGTTGCATCATTCGTTTATTTTTTCCCGACAAGGTCAAACGGATTCTTGCTCGTTTCGTGTAATCCCTGAACGGTCGACGAATCTGGAAATGATGTGATCCGAAGAAAAGCTCATCAGCGACGTTATCGCCGGACAAAAATCACGATCGTTGCACAACGAGGTTATGTAACGCGACCGAACATCATTTCTATGAACATCGATTGAAATCGTCGGGATCGTTGTAATGAAGGACGGCCAGGATTTCGGGGATCCCGGAAACGTGGCATTGCCACTGGCCATAAGTCTGTCCCCTCGAGCAGAGCAGATAAGTCGATCCTCACGCGATAAATTTCACCGGTTACCGGCCCAGTCCGACGATAATTCGTGTCTCTTCGGGCTCGTTAACGGGGCCTGTGGCCGGCTGTGTGCAATCAGCCACTATGGCCATGATATACCGCACTCCTGAATAATGACTAGACTGCGGATTTTATGCATTTATAGCCTATAGGGCTATGTGAAATACAACAAAAGACAAAACTTTCATCGGATCCAATGAGTTTTCAAAAAAGTAATTTTCTACATTTGCGCCTGCCTCTATAAAGTACTTTAGAAAATGTCAGTACATACATTGGAATCGTGCATTTTGTGACTCGATTTTTTCAAAAAATTCATCGCAATTTTAATTCAAAAGTTGTCCAAATTGCGATAAATCGTCCAATCTGATAATACAGACCGACGTATGCACGCGAAAACGATGACGATTGCCGCGCCCCCACACCTTCGAGGGGGACGACGCTGCTTGCAGCAGCCTCTGCGGGCTACGTCATCGCTCGGTTTATGCCGAGGCATCACAAGGGGACCGGTTCCTTGAAGGTGTCCCCCTTTGCCGCTCCTCCCGCGAGTTCATTTCGTATTCTTGCTCCCTCGCGAGAACTCTTTCCACAAAACACGAAAACACCGTATCACACGGTTAAACGAGCTTTTAGAGGGATTCGGATGAGGTAGAGGAATTCTAACCTAAATTCGCTCATCGAATGGAGCCCATCATTCGAATGCAAAGTAGACGCAAAAACGCGAGGCTTCACGGGAAGGAAAATAAAAACGAGATCTCCATTTCGCGTACTCAAGTCGAACTTTGGTTCGCCATAATGGAGAGTATCCGCTCGTTCCCCGATTTCAGAATGCACAGAAACGGCGGAAATGGAATCCCAGAAGGCACCATGATTCGATTCAGGGAAAGAATAACGAAAAGTTGTTCAAAGGGCGTAAAATGGGCGCTTGGATTATTGCAAAATAGATTAGGAGTCGAATAGAAAACAACGATCGGTGGCGGGAGAGATTGCTTAAACCAGCCACGGGAACCTTGAGACGGTGTGAAATAGTAATCAATGAGAAAGCCGCGGCGCGATGTTTCGGAAGCAACACACCCGTTCGGGGCGCAGCGTTATTTTTTTGTTCATTTTCCACGGTTACACGCCTCCGTCCCGAGACAACAGGTGTATGTCGAAAGTTTTAATCGATCACGATGAAAGGGAACCATGCTGCCTCTCTCCTCTTGCTGTTTAAGGAGGCGGCTCGGGGAGAAAATGCTGTCCTCGCGTCTGCATCGAATCACAGACGAGTCGTGCACGGACCAGGGCCGCTGGGACGACGTGTGGAGTGGGGGGGGGGGGGGGAAACGTACGTGGGCTCGTTGTTGCCGGCGTAATCTTACGCGACGGGAAGCGAGGAGAGCGAGAACGTCGAACGGGAATACTTTTCTCGTACGAGTTTCTCGCGTAACTCGCGAACCGAGAGAGACAGAGCTAACGTCTGTGGGTATGTACACGTCTTTACGAGCTTGGAACGCGCCGCGTAAAAATAGAGAGGCACGTTTTACAGGATCTATTCGCGGCGAAAGAGACATGAGCCGTAGGCCTGTTTTTTTTTTTCGCCAGCCATGCACCGTGAAACGGCCCGTACGAATGTTTGGCGAATTAACGACTCGACGACCCGAACGTGATATGCTCTTGAATCTTGGAGTTGTTTTGCTCGCTGGTGTCAGTGAGAAACTATAGCCTTTTTTCGATGAAAATGTGTTCGTACAATTTCACACCGTAATTTTTGTTTTAATTGGTTTTAGTCGGATAGTTGGGTGAAGGGAACGTTTCAGGTTTTGTCCAAATTGAGTTATAACTGGATCGGTAGTTATTAAATCGAAAAAGGAGGATATATTCTTTTCGTTCGGGGTTTCGTTTTCGAGAAAATAGAATTTGAAAATTAATCTGAAACGCGTGTGTTCGTGACACTTCGTGATGGAAGTAAGTAGAAACGGATTGCAACGAACAGACGCGCTAGCCAAGTCCTGTTCAATTACACGCGTATCCAATAGATTTTCAAATTCAATTATCTCGAAAACGAAGTCTTTAATAAAAAAATTTTATTCATATATCTTTTTAAAAAGTACCTATGTAATGGTTATGTGTACTTTTTTATTCTTATTATTGCTATGTCTCACCTCAATTCCATTTAATGATTTGTTGTTTCTAATTGTTCTTTAAGGGTTTATCCCCGTAAAATTAAATTAAATTAAATTATGAACCTCTCAAAACAATTCAATTCTCGTCTGAAGTATTTTGTAGTATCTTCGACAGTTTCCGAAATATTCGAGTGGATCGATTCAATTATTCCACCCTATATAATACCGTAAGAATACAGAACTACGTCGATCCTGCATAACATACATATATGTAATTATCATCTTCAGATTACAAGTACAAATGATACACAGAGCCACGAAATTCCTATCTCCGATCCCCGAGCAATAAATAAAAAACCTGCTTGTTGTGTGTCCTCGTAACTATCGGCGAATAGACAACAGGACACCTTCGGTTTACCGCAGAAAAAACCCGATCGAAACAGAAGGTGTCGTCACCTCAGAAGGGGGAAACGCTGTTATACAACCGCGTGAATGAATCCACGATAACTGGCGTACATACTCGTGGCGCCTGGAATTCCAAACGACGACGACGCGAACAATTACCCGGCTGCAGTTGCCGCCATGGCGGTCGACGGCGTACACGGGAATCGGTAATTAGCCGGGGCCAGAATGTACATTCATAATTGCAGGCGTTCGAGTACGAAACTGGAACAAGAAGCGTACGTGGTATGTATGTTTTTCGCGAGCTTCGGCTACGGAACAGCCGGTTATACAATGTGCACTGTTGATCCAGTGTGTGTACTCTTCGAGGAACGCTGTTGATGTACGTGTGAGGGCGTTGCGTGTGCATCGTTGTCGCGCGTTCAGTCTGTAAAGTTTGCGGAAACGAGGGACGGGACGCGTTCGTCGATGTTGTAGCGTTGATCGAGGAGATGGATCACGCTTGCAGAGAGGGGGCGGTTAGGCGAACGGTGTCGGATCGTCCTTAACACTAGAACAACGAAGAATAGGGTGAACGCACTGATAATGAACACTTGAGAAATTTTGTAATTATTAAAGTCGAATTTTAAATGATGATAATATTAATAGATGTTTGGCACATGAAAATTAGATTTTTTAATGTCTATACCCTTTTTATAACGTATAGATTTCAATTGGCGAAATGTAATTAATTAAGGATGTACATTCATATAATTAATGTATTATTAAGTATACGAACATTTGCGACTGGTGAGGCGAAAATTGTTTGAATATGAAACAAGAAATTGAAACAAAATCAATATTTAATTATCGTAGTATTTGCGTTTTAATAACTTAATTTACTCGCTTTTATGTAGATTGTTTACTCACTGGTACGTGTTTATTTAGCGGTGCATCCACCCTGTATTTATTTCTGTCGGATTGATAATTATAACAATCTTCTGAAAATAGTTAAATTAATAAATTAACCAATTTCTTCATTTTCATCTATATACATAAAAAGTTAACGTATTCATCAATGTCTATGTAACCCCTGTATATCTAGGAACATGAAATTTGAACAGTATACTCTTTTGTGACCGTATGTAAGGGACAAGCTGTTTCCTGATACGACAACCGTATCTCTAAATCCACCAAAGCTGGATATGTGAATATCTTTTCTACAAAGAAAAAAACGGTGATTTTATAAAATCCAAAAAAAATCTAGATGTAAACTTTTCCTCCGAGAAACCTTTCTTTTGGGTTGATACTTATATTTATAGAAAGTACTTGTTTAGAGTTTAATGATATCGATTTTGAATTTATGAATAATAAAAGTTAGGAGGTGAAAAAGGTTGCTAAATTTTAAAAAATAAACAGTGGTCGTTGCATATGATTAGTTATGTGACGGATAGGATGATTAATACCTACTTCCAATCAATATAAATTTACAGCGAAGGAAAACGTTTTCCCAGAGGAAAATTTTACCTTGCACTGTTACTACAATTATTGTAATACTTGCAATCATCGTTAAAAAAGTCACCAACTAAATCCGTCATTTCGACAGTTTTGGCAGTTCTCTAGTATTAACACTAAAACTACCGACGATGAACGTATATTTATTTCCGTCACATCTGTAATCATGCGAACCTTCCAAGACCCATTTTTGTGAAGAGACACTCGGGATATCGCTCACCATTTATTTACCAATAAATATTTTCAAATAAAAAAATTACCTTATAAACTATAAACTGCAATCTTTGGAACACAAGCACATTTTTTGAAAAAGGTGTCATAGCTTTCGAGAAGAAAATTCCTAAAGAACACTCTTTTTTCGGCCTCCTGACTGAGCATGAAGGCGATCAGGAACAACGCGTACGCGCGAATGGGGGACGAGGACGAAGGTTCTCTCGCGAGTGTAAAAGAGCGAAAGAGAGCCCAGTGTGTACCGTGTCTACCCACACGGAGAACGGTGAGTTCGAACAAATAAGAATCTGGCTGAAGGAACGTGTGCGCGTTGTACAAGCACAAACGAGAACGCGCGCGCGCACAAAGAGTCGCATACGCACAAGAACACACGCGCTACGAGTGTATACACGCGGTGGTAACATCCCACGCCGTGCGGCGACACGCGGTGAGAAAAGTAGGGGAGGGCCCAGGCGGGGATCGGCAACGGCGGTGGCGTTCTCCAGGCAAAAGAGCCGTGGTCGTTTCACGTACGTACTCGCGGCGGGAATGGTAGTGACGGAGAGGAACGTAGCACCGTGTGGTCACTAGGGCCAGCGAGCGATCGTCGATGCCACATCGACCCGCGGTACCGAACCGAGAGCATCGGTTCAACGAATCGCTTCTCCCACAACGTTACGCGTCGGACACGCGATTATTGTCACTTTACTGCACCGATATACACACTAGTTAGCTAGTCGAAACGACGTCAAAACAAGAAGACACAGTGATAGATAGAGAGGTGAAACGAGGGGAACGGTGAGACAAGAAACGTATCCCAAGGTACACATACACAGACAGAGGACAAAGTCTCTTCAGGGACGAAGAGAAACGAGTTTGCAAACGGGGCCGGTCACGGGTGTGTTAGAGCGTTCAGTCTGGCCGGAGAGATCGCCGCGAGACGCGTATCACCGACCCGCCGTGACACGAAGTAAACACGAAATTTCGGACAGTTTTTGGTTAATTTGTTTGTTTTTTTTTTTAATTGTTCCCTCGGGTTCGTGGTGCGCGCGTGTTTTCGTATGCGAAATTACGGTGGTGACGGGTTGTGTGATTGAAACATCGTGAATATGACTATACGTAAAAAGAGTGGTGGAACGAGGGTGACGAGCAAAGGGACAACGGGTAAAGAAATGGCCACTTCGTCGTCGAACTCGACGGACATGACCACCGTCGAGACAGTTGAAGTGGTGTCCTCGACTAGCGTGGTAGAGGAGGCGAGGCAGATCGTCGAGAGCGAGTCCAGGAGCAGCATGACCGAGGTGACCAGCGCCAGTCGGGAGGTCATCATGGATTCCAAGGGTAACGTGATCAAGGTCATCGAGACACCTCCGGAAACTGTCGGTCAGAGTTCGTCTACGTATAAAATGGGGAAGAGTTCGGAGGATTTTATAGCCGCGGAACAGACACAAACCGTTAAACAAGGAAAACCGATAAGGGACGGTCCACGAAACACAAAGGAGATCGAGATCCATTCGGACCGTCTCCGAGGCGAGACTTCCGGGCAAACGTGTAGATCCTCTGAAACACAATGTCACAGTGAATCTCGAGCGGAGACTGTTCAAAAGTCTGTTTCATCGACCACGGTTTTAGAGACTTCGTCGTCGATGGAGGATTATCACGATCACCTCTCGAAGACAACGATCTCCAACGGAGAGCAAAAGCCACAGGTGCAGACCTCGTCGAAGTCGTTCGAGAGTCGATTAGCGACCGAGGAGACGCACGAAGAGAGGACAAAGGATGGCCAGACGGTCTCAAGTACGACGAGAATCCGTGAAACAGGCGAGAAACACGATGACAATGGCCATACGACGGCCTCGAAGAGCCGCAGCGTCGACAACGAGACCACGGTCGTGCCCTCGGACCTGGGTCATCCAGTTAAACACACGGATGACGTCATACGACCGAGTAACAAGGTCGTCCACGATTCATCCACTGCGAGTGAAAGCACAACGAAAGAAATTGTCACCCGTTGCAGCAAGCCCGGCCAGTCTACGTGGGACGGCACGTTTATTAGCGAAAGTACGCGACCGGTTAAGGACAGAAGCATCGCGAGAAACGTCGAGACGTCACGGGGAGATCGGGACAGCACCGGTCTCGACGTGGCGAAAGTAGATCGTCTGGTTTCCAAAGCTGGCGCCCAGGAGACCACCGAGTCGAGCGTTCATGTCTCCGAGTACAGTTCCGTCATCGATCAGCGTGTATCGTCGACTGTGATCCACGACACGAAGATTATAATCGACGAGGGAAGAACAGGCAGCGTTCAGAGCTACGATCGCGACACGATGACCCGTGATACCATTGATTTCGCGGATGGACAGAAGCTGGTTACTGTCGAATCGCCCCAAAAGGGTTCGACCAGGCATTCGAGGCCTGGAGAATCAGCGTGGGACGGTACCTTTGTCACCGAGAAGCATCAAGAGCCTAGAAAACGAAATGTCTCCGATGCTTCGGTCTTCCAGCATCCCGGAGATAATGTTATACAGTCGACTCAGAGGACGGATTTCGCAGAGAAAAGTACCGATGGATCCTACGAGAAAAAATCCTCGAATATAGTCCACGTTGTTCAAGGAGCCACAGACTCTTCGAGGTTCATATCCGAGGAACGCAGGGACGTCACAGAGGAGGTTTACATCGACGGGAAACCGATTGGTAGAGACGTCTCGAAGGATAGATCGCCGTCGAGAAGAGTCACGAGACCCGGAGACTCCTCCTGGAACGGTCAGTTCGTCTATGAGAAGCCACAAGACGGCGCCAAGAGGTCGCCCATGGATAAGACTGTCGTCAAAAGGAGCGATAAACGACACGATTCCGTGGACGTCCAAGACATCACGGAAGAAATGAGAAGGTGAAGAACGTCGAAAAGGTGACTGCCGTTTCAGAGGCGATCATCGAAGAGGATACAGGAGAAAATGAGTCTCGACAGAGAACGATCAAACCAGACTCGACCACGAGGAGTTACAGACCTGGCCAGTCGACCTGGGACGGTAGCTTTGTTCACGAGAAACCTCAGCCGCCTGATCGTCGTCGTAAGGACACCAGGCGGCCAACCGACTCAGTCATCATCCGCGACGTCACGGAGGACAACTCGATAAACGAGGCGGAAATCTCGACGGCTGCCTACGTTGTCGAACATTCGTCCAGTCAGCAGAGCTTCACCGATGTCAAGGACTCCAGTCTGTCTTCTGTTCATGATATCGTTTACGACGTTCATCCAACACGACAGGATGTATCGTCCAGTCGGCCAGGAAGTCCCGAGAAAACCCCTAAAGGAAAGGACACTAGGCTCACGAAACCTGGATCATCCACCTGGGACGGAACCTTCGTCACGGAGAAACCATCCGATGAGAAGAGACCTCCTAGCAGGGAGTCTGTTAAAGAGAATTTAGTCGATACAGTTCAGCCAGAGAGTCCTCTATCGAAACCCAAGAAACATATTAGTGATACAACATTGGATATCAACGATACTCAGGTGTCCAGCACGTCGGAGATGTTCAGCAACTCGATCGTCATGGAACAATCGACTGTGCACGAGAGCTACTCGGATTCGTCGAACCTGGACTTCTCTTCTAGTTCCATGGAGACTGTCATTACCCGTAATGGGGTGCCAACGACCATTCAGAAGAGTGTGACGATCGAGGAGGGAGCCAAGAGCCCTGACAAGAAGCCTCTGGAACCGAAAAGTCAACGACCCAAACCGGAAGACCTGAAGTCAACGGAGAAACGTCCCAAAAGTCCTGAGAAGACTGATAGATCTGTTCGTCCTACCAAGCCAGGTGCTTCCACCTGGGACGGTTCGTTCGTGTACGAAAAATCTGCGGAGAAACCAAGTGATAAGACGCCCACCGATGCCTCCCGTCGACCTGGAGATAAACAAAGTTCTACTCAGATTTCGCCCAAGAATGTTCCAAGTTCCACTCAAATTTCGCCCAAGGATGTTCCAAGGTCCACTCACATTTCGCCAAAGGATCAATCGACATACCGTTCCGAGAAATCGATCACTCTGTCAGACACTTCGAAGGACGTGCAGACCTCTGAATTCGTCACTTCCACCACTCTTGAACGTACACTCGTGTCAGACTCGGAAGTTTTGGACTCGAATAAATTTTCTACCACGGTTACACATCAAGTGGAGGACAAAAGGCGTCCCAACGAACCAGAAAAAGGACCTCTTGATAGAACTCCTGGATCACCAACTCGACGACAGCCTGAAGATGGAAGAAAATCACCAGAGAAGCGACCTAAGAGTCCGGAAAAGAGCACGTTGGATAGATCGACGAGGCCAACGAAGCCTGGGGCTTCGACTTGGGACGGTTCCTTCGTTTATGAGAAACCGCAGGATCAGAGGAAGAAACCCACGGATCAAGAGAAAAGACCAACTGATCAAGGAAAAGGACCTAAAGATTCTCCAGTTACAGAGAAACCGAAGGATCAAGGAAAAGGACCTAAAGATTCCCCAGGTACAGAGAAACCGAAGGATCAGAGGAAGGGACCGAAAGATTCCCCAGTTCTAGAGAAACCTAAAGATCAAGGAAAGAGACCGAAGGATTCTTCAATTATCGAGAAACCAAAAGATAAGCCTTTTGTTCCAAAAGAGGACACCACACATATTTCTGTTATAAAACACGACGTGAACGATGTCAGGGATATCAATGATTCTACGGATATCGAGGTGATCCAGCGGTCTTCTTACGTGATCGATCAGTCGTCCAGCTTCACCTCTGTGCAAGACGTTCGGGACGTGGTGGAGGAACGTGTCATCAGCGAATTTACAACGGACGCACGTAAAGACGTGGTGAGTAACGACCAGCCATTACTGAATTCTTGTTATTCGCGATGGAGGAAGTGTACAGTGGTCCGCGTTGTTCCACGAAGGAGCGTCGCTCGCTGAACCAACAACCGGCCCCCTGTTCTTTTGTTGAATTAAACGTTCTCGCGAAAGGCGTTCTTAAGGGGCTATGCTAGTGTGACGGCTATATAATAAGGCGATCTTTGGGAATTTTTTAAAGAAAAACTATTGAACTTATCAATTTGAATAATATATATATATTTACTAAATAATATTTGTAAAGTATGCTATATTTTTATAGAGCAAAAACATGTGTATTTTTTAAAAGTTACAGTTCGTTTGTGAGAGCATCTTAACGAAATTTTCTTTCCATGGCGGCCATGGTATAGACTCTTGTGATTGTGTGAAATAAAGAAAAACAAATATTTTCTTAATTTGTAAAAAGCAATTGCAAAAAGATTCAATTTTCTTAAAAACGTAGCATCACACAAAAAAATTTTATTCTTCATTTTCGACTTACTATTATATATACTATTATACTTATTAATAGACTGCGGATGTTATGCATTTATAGCCAATAGAGCTCTGTGAAATACAATTAAAAGGAAAATATTCGTCACATGCAACGAGATTTCTATTTTATTCTGAACCCAATAAGATAGTTTACAGAAGAAAAACTTTCCTAGATTTACTCTACTCTTTGTAAATTACTTTAGAAAATATAATCTTGCATAAAAATCCGCAGTCTACTTATTAATAAGCGTTAAAAGAATTCTGCTTCAAAGTTTAATTTTTTGTTTCTTAAAGACCGAATTCTAGAAATTGATTAACTATTGTCTCTACGTTTCCAATTAAAACATTTAGTTTCAGGGAGTGTTTAAAGCTCCATTCAAGAACAGGAGTGGGGACGTTACGTGGGCATCTTCTATATAAGGTCACAGAGTGGTTTCTCAATGAACAAACCGATAGACTGTAATCAATGGTATAATCGAGTTACGGCGGTGTCGATGTTCCATAGGAAATAAGGTAAAAACGAAGTCGGGCTGCACACCTCGCGGAAGAGGCTCGGTCGGTACTTTCACTTCCAAACCAGGCGAAGGTCGTAGGTTCTCGTGCGTTGCTCGATCAAATATAATACTGACGTAATATCTAGTCAGGATGAAGGAGAGAAATATGGAGAACATTTGGTACACGGGGTCAACGCGCCGTGCAAGGATTAATTTCATAGTTGATTCAGATCGATACGTTTGAGTTCCTTAACCCATTAAGTACCAATATTGCGTTAATATGACATTTCATTCTTAATTTTTTTCAGTCTATTTTCATTATTGAATTCTGTTTTTTATGGTTATGAAAGAGTATTCCAGGAATTTATTAATAATTTTTTCGTCATTATTTCTCTTTCCACCGAGGCATATAATTTTGTTAAGAATAATTAATCTTGTGTATAAAAATCGTATTATTTCACTGTTTGATTTTAATGGGTTACATGTCGAAGTCACCGTAGAAGTTGTTGGCATCAGTAAACGATATTTTAAATAGGCAATTTTTTTAATAAATATCAGGTGTAACAATTATAGTTACAGCAAGGGTGTAGTACAATTTAAATTCAGGATATCTTTCCGATTTCTTGTTTAGTGAAAATAACGTTCGACGTTGATGGTGTAATTTCGAGCAATTATGCTTTTTTATTTCTGAAAAGGAAAAAGGCGGTACAGGCAACAAAAAATGATTTCCTCTAGATGTCGATGGTGCTGTGAACGAACGGAAATAAGAAAAAATCATAATTGTTCGAAATTACACGTTCTAGTCGCTCATTTTCATAATAAGGCCAATTCAAGAATATTTAACGTAATCATAAAGATTTTCGTAGAGGATTTTAATTATTTTTATGCGATTTTCGATTGAAATTGAAGATATTATAATAAATTGTAGACTTTGAACTTGACATACGTTAAAAAACAGAATGACAAAATTGTCACCACATCCAAAATTGCCCCTATTAAACAACAAAGTCCCTGTTGAAAAGCCCTTATTAACGTTTCCTTTCGAAATACTAAATGCACGTCCATTGTTTACTTCCAACGTCATCAGAATGTCCCTCGAACAACCTACTAAAATCGGACCCTCCTCCGGGCATGTTACAAAACGGAAAAGAAATCTCCAGTCTGTGATTTCATTCGCGCTAATTATACCTTCCGTGTCAGGAGGCATCCTCTCCGATTGCGAAACGCATCGAACACGCCGATAAATCCTACTCTCGATCCAATTGCCTCCGCGAGCGTATTTCTAGTACCTACTATCTACAACCTGTAATTTTCCCCACGATGGAAGCGGTGTCGGATTCGAAACGGTCGCAAACGGAACACAGATTCTTTCAGGGCCCCTGAAACGCTCGACACGCGCCCACGTTTCGATCATCTAGCTTGCCCTTCAATTAAGAGGTTAGGCTACCTTGAATAAGCCAAAGTCATGGTCGTTTTCAGCAATTTTTTGGGGGGGAAGATAATGAAATAAATGGAATGTTTAATATAAAGCCTTTTATTGTAGAACTTTCGACAGAAAATGTCGTATTATTGGTTTGTTTCTTTCCTTACAAAATGGCGGCGTTCAAGCGGAGATACGGAAATACCTTTTCGAGCGACGTTCTTCACGATGTTTGACCTCACAACTGCACTGTTTGACCTAGAGCAAAAAACCAACATTTTTATTTTCTACATAACAAAACCTAAAGATGTACATTCTATGGATTTTGCGATATCTTGAATAGATTTTCAGCAATTGATATTTTTTTATCGAAATTTTCTGAAGAAAATATCCTACTTTTAAAATTCGTACGTGCAATTGACGATAATTTTCTTTTCAGAATCCTGTCAAAGTTTCAGGTCCATTGAATAAAAATTCACAAAGTTATCGTACGCCGCCAGTTAGAAAAAGGTCGTTTCGAGAAAACGCGTTTACAGTTTGCCTGGAAATTATTTATATAATCAAAATACACAGTATCTTTGTAAATTCTTCGAATATCAATTTCAAATTTTCAGATAGTATTTTTGAAGAGTTAAACTTTATCAAAATGCATTTAAAAGAAATCGATGTTTTTGTAAATTTCATAGTAGTGGTCCCCTTGAATGAAACTCTCGATCTATTAAACGAGATCGCGATGATTCCCGTGGACGGGTAAATATTTCTGTTTACAGATAGATCGTTCAACGATCGATGATTTTCCCGATCCAGCCGCACGATCCTTCCCGAGAACTGTGTACACAGAGAGCCGTGGATTTGACGCTCGATCCGCGTAAACAGTGATTAACTGCGATCGGTCGTAGGCCCCCGTGAATAAGAATTAATAAGGGAACGGTTATGAAATGGGCGCGAGTATCTCTTTGGTGAAACGACTGATAAGAATATGTCGTGTGCACGCAACAGCAATCACCTGCAATCGACTTCAATCGAGCGTACGTAAAGCGACAATAATTGCATCTAAGCGCGAGCTCGTCCATGTTCGGCAGTGATCTCATATCGCGACCTTAATAAGTAAACCTCGTAACTCCACTTTTGGGCCAATTTGCATTTTAGTGTCACTCAAAATAAATACATTCTTCTAAATAATTCCACAACTCCTGTAAATTAAACACAGTTCAAAAAACTTGCTTATTTTCTGCAATTTAACAAGTTCAATTAATTCTAAACTGTTTTATTGCTCTTCTATAAAATTTCGTCAAATAAAGTTATGAGTTTTATTTATTAAGGTCACGATGTCTCGATTCTCGTGGTTCTAACTCCCATCGGAACGATTTTCACCGTGCAATCCATCCAAGCGTTTTTGAACGCGTGACTACCTTTGACCCGATTTGTTCGTTCTCGCGGTACGTGTTTTATGCTTTCGTGACACGATTCGAACCAACGTTCGCGCGTCACCTGCTTTCGCGAGGTTTGTAATTTCGAGTCGTGGAACTTCTTGATGGACATTTCGAGAGTTATTTTTTTTCGTGGTGCCTGGGTAATGATTGAGTTTCAGGAGAGAAAATTTTGATGTTTTCTTTTGAACGTGTTCATTTAAATCGGTTCGTTGCGATCACTTGTTGTTAATCAAACGAGGAAGTATACCGTTTGAGTGTTGCTGCCAAGTTTGGAAGTGATGTCATCGGCCGTTCGCGAGCTGTTCGATACGCGGTCAATTGGATTTCATGCCGCGAGCTACGATTCGTTTTACTTGAACCCATTATAGCGTCACGATCGTTTGTAACACGCGTCGATTTTTTTGTAGGCGTCGCGCATGCCTGGAATGATCAAGATGTTAGTGGAATATATTATTACAGCTGGGCGATTATATTCTCTTTAGTAGATTTCAATGTTATTCCCAATTGATTCGAGGGATGGTAATGTAACAACTTTTTGAACAGTGTATAAGAGGTAACCCTTAAGTAGGTGCATTGGTAAACCTGGAAATTGATGACCCCAAAATTCTTTTTATAATATAGGTAAAGCAAGGGGTATGGAAAAATATAAACGAATCAGTTTGATAATTAACGTTTCTCATTTTTAAAAGAAATAGCAATCAAAGAAATAAATTCAATTTTGGGGGGGGGGGGGGGGGGGAAAGACGGATTTTTCTGAAGAAACGTTTTTTTCAGCTTCACAGAAAGTTTTGTAATAATCGAAACCCAACAGATCAAAATTCTCTCACTCATGTACGAACCCAAAATATTATTCGTGGTACGATCTGCTTCGAAGAAGTTCGAGCCACTACAAAATCGTTTGTTTACACTTAAAATGAAACACACGTCTATGTAACATACACGAGTCCAAAATATTATTCGTGTTACGATCCACTCCAAAGAAGTTGGAGCCGCTACGAAGACGTTTGTTTACATTTAAATGACGCCGATATATGTGAAAAGCTAGCTCGTAAATATTATTCACGTTAATGCTATTCCTCGTCTCCTCGACAAGGTGAATTACCAATAACCAAACTGGTGAATGATGTCACCGTGTGCAGGACGGTC